GGCTCAGGTCATGATCCCAGGGTCCTGGGATGGAGTCCCACATCGGGCTCCCGGCTCCGCAGGAAGCCTGCTTCTCCCTCTCCCACTCCCCCTGCTTGTGTTTCTGCTCTTGCTGTCTCTGTCAAATAAATAAATAAAATCTTTAAAAAAATAAAAAAATAAAAGCCAGTCTTAAAAAATAAAAACATAAACTAAAATAACTGAGCAGAGAAATCAGCAAACACACTGCAGGAGAGAGATTTTTCAGATTAACGTCCAGGCAAATTACAAAGCAAACAAATTAACAACAATAACCACAGAAGCAGCAACAACCCTCATGAGAACAGATGTCAAGTTTGGAGTTGCTACAATATGTTACATAGTATCTCCAGTTTTCAACAGATTTATGAAGCATATAAAGAAATAGTGAAGTGTGGCCCAAACTGAAGAAAGAAACTATCAAGAGAAACCATGTTTGTGCTCAGATGTTGAATTTAATAAACAAAGACTACAATGCACAGAAGAAAGGATACTGCAGGGTACTACATATATGAGATATCTAAAACAGCCAAACTCATCGAAACAGAGTAGAATGGTACAGGAGGAAGAAATGGGGAGTTGCTGTTCAAGGGGTATAAAATTTTAGTTATGCAAGATGATGAAGTTCTAGAGATCTGCTGTACAACACTGTGCCATAGCTAACAATTCCTGTATCGTGCAGTTAAAAAACTGTTAGAGAACAGATTTCAAGTTAGTGTTCATACTACAATAAAAAAAGAGGACTATAAAGCAGCCATTATAGATTCGTTTAAAAATTTAAAGGAAACAATGATTAAAGAATTAAAAGGAAATAGGACAATGAATCAACAGGGAATCTCGAAAAACAGCAATTATTAAAAAGAATCCATTAAAATTCTAGAGTCATAAACAGTAACTGAAAATTCCTAGACAGGCTCAATAACAGAATTTAGATGGCAGAAGAATCAACAAACTTGCAGATGAATAAAAATTATCCAATTTAAAACATAAGATGATAAAGATTAAAGAAATATGTACAGAGCTCAAAGACCTATGGCACAACAGCAAATACATCAATATACATATGAGCCCCAGAAAGGGGCAGAAAAAATAATGGAAAGAATAATGGTCACAAAAACCAAATTTGATAATATTAATCTACATATCCCTGAATCTCAACAGATCCCAAACAGGATAAACACAAACAAATGCATACCTAGACACACTATGCTCAAATTGTTGAAAGCCAAAGAGAAAATCTTAAAAGCAGTAGGAGAAAAACAACTCATCACAAACAGGAAAATACATTTTCATTAAAAACAGTGGTGGCCCTAAGGAAGTGGAAAGATATATTCAAAGTCCTGGGGGTAGAGGGATGACAACCAAAAATTCTAAATCCATCAAATTCTATCCCTCAAAAATTAATTTGAAGTATATTCCAAAATAAAGACTGAGAGAATTTGTTGCCGGCATACTTACCTTACATGGAACGCTAAAAAAAAAAAAAAAAATCCTTTAGATGAAAGAAATAAAAATAGACTCAGTAACTTGAATCCATGGGAAAAAATGAAAAGCAGCAGCAACAGTAAACATTTTTAAATGTATATACATTCCCTTATATATCCTCTTTTCTTCTCTTAAATTCTTCAGAAGACATTGTATAAAGTAATAATTATAACAGTATTGTGTATATGTATATGTGTGTGTAGATATATATAAAATAAAACACAAATGTAATATATATGACAATTAATAGCACAAAGGAAGGGGAAGGAAATAAAGGTATGCTGGAACAAAGTTGCTATATTGTACCAGAAGTTAGTTAATATTAATCTGAAGTAGTCTGCAATAAGTTAAGATGCCTAATGTAATACCTAGAACCACTTAGAAAATGACTTAAAAATAGTAAAAACTTAAGAGTAATTAAAACAGTACCCTGATAAACATGTTTAATACAAAATCATGAATAAAGGAATAACCCAAAGACATATGATATAGAGAGAGCAGGGGTGCCTGGGTGGCTCAGTCAGTTAAGCATCTGCCTTCAGCTCAGGTCATGGTCCCAGGGTCCTGGGATTGAGCCCCACATCAGGCTCTGTGCTTAGCAGGTCCTTGGATTGAGCCCCCCATTGCTCACTCTCTCTCAAATAAATAAATAAAATCTTTAAAAAAAAAAAAGATATAGAGAAAGCAAATAGCAAAATGGCAGATGTAAATCCAAAGTTTTATTAAATTTTATGGAATAAAAACTCCAATCCAAGGGCAAAGCTGTAATGTATAGGAAAACAAACAAACAAACAAAAAACAAAAATCAAGATCCAACAAAACGCTGACTACCAGAGACCCACTTCAAATTAAAATACACAGATAAGTTAAAAGAAAAAGGACAGAAAGATATATGCCACATAAACAGTTATAATAAGAGAGCTGAAATGACTGTATTAATATCAGACAAACTGGACTTTAAGACAAGAAATACCACTAGAGACATAGCAAGACATTTGATAATAATAAAAGGTCAATACATAAGAAAGACATAAAAGTATAAAGGTGTATATACCTAAAAACAGAGCCCAAAATATATGAAGTAAAAACTGACAGAATTGAAAGGAAAAATAGACAATTTAACCATTATAGTTAGAAATTACAATGTTCTACCCCTTAATAGCTAACAGAACAAATAGGCAAAAAATCAGCAAGAATATAGCAGACTTGAGTAACAACTGTCACTAATTGACCTGACATTTTTTAATGCTCTATCAAATGAGAGAAGAATATGCATTCTTTTCAGATGCATGTGAAACATTCTCCAGCATAGACCATATGCTAGACATAAAACAAGTCTCAGGAAATTTGAAAGGACTTGAGTCATTCAAAGTATATTCTCCAACAAATAAATTAAAAATAAAGAAATTCAGAAAATACCCAATACTTGGAAATGAAGTGACATATTCCTAAATAACGTATGGTTTCAAAAAAGAAATGAGAAATTAGACAATATTTTGATTAAATGAAAACAAAAATACAACATATCAAAATTTATGAGGTATAGCTTATTCAGTGCTGAGGGAAATTCAGAAGTTTAAATACCTATACTAGAAAAGAAAGGTTTCACATCAGTAATCTAAGCTTCCACTTTAAGAGTAGACAAAGAAGAGCAAATTAAACCTAAAGCAAGCAGAAGGAAGGAAATAAAGATCAGAAGAGAAAGAAATCAATGAAATAGGAAACAGAAAAATAAAGAAAAACAAAGAAACCAAAAGTTCTTTGGGAAAAATAATCAACAACATTGGTAAGCCTTTAGCTAGGCTAAGAAAAAACAAGAGATAACATGGAATACCAAAATCAGGGATAAAAGAAGGGATATAAATAACCAGCCAAATAAAAGGGCTGTGAAAGAACCAATCTTACACAAATTCTTTCAGAAAACAGAGGCAAGGAACTTTCCAACTCATTCTGAGACCAGTATTATTACCCTTTTACCAAAGCAAGATAAGGATATCATAAGAAAAGTAGAGACCAATATCCCTTGTGAGCACTCACATGAAAATCCTTAACACAATATTAGCAAATAAAACCCAGCAACATATAAAAAAGAAAAAGCACCATGATGCAGTAGGATTTACGCGACCATGACATCTCTAAGGCCCCAACCTCCTCTCTGTTCTGACATCGCCCTTCAGACAGATGTAAATCGCCAGTGGTACTTTGGCTGTGCAGTCCCTTCAAGATAAACCTTCCTTGGTGGTTGTGTGTGGAGTGGACAAAATAAAGTAACCTAATCCTACTGAAATTATGGGCATCAAAAAAGATTAAGGACACCAAAAAAGAAGCAGAAACCAAGATGATTTCCAATTTCAACCTTGATGTTGAGGGTCGAGATACCTGACAAGGATTTAAAACAAAGACGAAAAAGTAGGTGATCAATGAGCTAGATTTTCAATTATATCCAGAGCTTAAAACTATCAATCACCAACCAGATCCATGTGAAACATGGATGGTTAAGGGGTTTTTCCTAGACTAAGAAATGACACCCTAACTATTGGAAAAGGAACAGTATGTCTCCAGGGATACAAGTGAGACTTTGAAGAGATGGTATGTTCCTTTTTTCAGCTCATGTCAACTCAAACGCTGAAATCCAGGACTAAATTCTAGGCTTAGCTACATCAGGTCATCAGTTAAGGTGACAGTGCTTTCCAAGTCCTGAAAGGCTCACTTCTAGGTTCTTGCTTTTAGAGATGGATATCAGCAGGAGGATGATGCACCTTGCCACCCATCCAACCACCACCCCACTTAGCCTGGTAAAAAAATACACTCAATCAACCCACAAACACAGTCCATAACACAGTTGAGGGTAAGAGATATGAAGGAAAGCTATAATAAAGGTTTTCTAAAAGCACTTGCACTCACCTAAAACTTTCATATCCATCTCCAGGAATCTGAAAAAAAAAAATTCATCTAGAAACATTATTTAGGTGGACATTCACTTCTACATGGTTTAGAAATATAAGTTTCTACCCATAGCATTATTAAGTTAGCCAATTCTGCACTATTCATGAACGGTTTAAAATTTTTCGCTATATGATGCTTCATTATTTCAATTTTTAAAAAGTAGTATTTCAGATGAAAGAAAGCCTCTGTGAAACCATAAAAGACAAAGTCTCTAGCTATCACATGAGATTTGAAATAATGCAAATGTCAACTAAAAAAAATTCAGATTAATATTTTAAATAATGAAACGAGGACACAACTATGTATTTTGTGGCAATTCTTGAAACACTTCTTTTCCACTAATTGAGAGCAAGGATCAAAATTTTGAGTAGATATTTCCAGGAAAAGTACATCAAGTAAATCTACAACCTCATTAAATGTGACTAATTTCAAATACTGAATTTGGCTGATCATACATACAAATCATCAAGATTTATATCTTATTCTGGATAAATTTCAAACATATCAGTATAACATTTCTATATTACGAATTACAAAAGAATTCATAACAATTCAATAGGCAATATGCAAGTTTATTTAAATAATTTAACACTGCACAGAATGCTAATTTAGAAGTATAAAAATAGATGGTTTAGCAACCAAATATAAAGCACCACACAGAAGCAGATTACACATACACCATCAGGCCTTTGGAAGATTAAGGCAACATTAATCTCTCAAATAATTTTATGAGAACACTTTACTCATATGATAGATGTTACTAAAACTTGTCAAAATAGAGAGTCCACAATTTTTTCAGTATGAAGTCTTCCCTTCCAGCTTTCTTGTCAATATATTAATGATTTTTCTTAAACACTGTACAACAATTAGTCTAGATTGACAAATGGGCTATCAAAGCCACTATCTTGTTGGCTAGATAGAGGAGCAATTAATTTTCTCGAAGGCTGCCGACACACATATGATGGTACTGTACTGCTCAGTTTTTTGAAATCTGGCTTTAATATATCAGCCTTATGATGAGGTGGGTGTCTAAGAGTCATACCGATCTCTGGCTGGGAACAAAGGGTTTCTTCTGACAGGTCTGAAATGTGACCACTCTCACATTTCTTTGGTTGACAAATCATTTTATTTTTCTCTGTATCTGAAAGACAACTGGCTGCTGAAAACTGTTTGAAATTAACAGCTTCAGCTGGTATATCCAGAGTTTCTTGTGGTCTACCGTATAAAAATGACACTTCGTGACTGTTGCAGGGTAAAGTGGCACTGTTGGAATGCCAGCCTATGGGGTCATCCAGGTCCCCTCCATCCTTTACTAGAGTTTCCCGAACACCCAAACTTTGACTTTTCTCAGATGCAGCATTTTCACTTTCCATTAATGGATTACACTTACACACTTTTAAACCAAGTCTTTCATTAGGACCTCGAAAGGTTGTATGTGTGGATCCAGATTCAGAAAGACTAGGGGTATATCTAGGTGAGGGTTTATTTCCGAAGGATCCAAGAAAGGGGTATGCGGCTGAATGCTGAAGTGATTCAGAGCCAATATCACTGAGGTCTTTCTTCTTGTGCAAACCAAAGCCTTTTTCACCTTCACAAGGCACAAACTCAGGAGAAACATTTTTTGGCGACATGTCTGGGTGTTTGAAATTGTTATCCCCAAGCTGGAAGCCTGAGTGTGACCCTTTGGAACCCATGTGCTTTGTGTCCCCATGCTCTGCGTCCTCTAATCGTCTTCGTAAGTTACAAGCAGCTCTTCTCTTAGGAACTTGGTCACACATACTTCTGGGGATAGTTTGTATACTGTTTGATTTGCTTTCAGTGTGACGTGATGTATTCTGAGTCACATCATTTCTTTTTGATTTTTCAACTCCAGTCAGCATCTCTGAAGTCAGAGGTAGTACTACTATATACAAAGGAACACAAAATTAGGAGAAAACAAAATTAGGAGAAAATTAACATTGAAAGAGGAGGGAAAAAAATTATGTTTTCATGTATTTCCAAAGAATGCATATATTTTAATCATTCTCAAAGAAAATACATCAAGGCTGGACATTTAAAAATATTATTTTACATATATCCATTCAATAAGGTTAAGCAATGTTGTTACTGAAATCTGACATTATTGTTATACATCTGATCTATTATTTTCTGCAACAGATATTGCATTTCAAGAGCCAACTGCAACGTTTCCAATTCTGTCTGATGAAGAAAATTTGCTAAAGAACCCCAGTGCCCAACGTCTACATAAGCGCGCGCGCGCGCGCGCACACACACACACACACACACACACACACACACACACACTGTAAAAGCTAAAACGGAGTTTCTGATTTAATCTACCTAAGACAAGGAATCTGATCAGAAGCAAAGCCGCCACATAGCATTAAATCAGAGAAATCATACCTCAGAGTAGTGTACCTTGGTCCCTAGATCATGAAAAGGGTTTGCTTTTATTAGGGACACTTGCACAGTTGCCCCAAATCTTTTACACCCAACGTTCACATCACCATTCCCAAATTTACACAAATAATCTTTGAGTTTTTTAAAAGAACGTCTACCAATATCAGACTTGTGGATTCCTGAACAATCTCTGCTTCAAGCTTTCTAGAAGTTCAAAAGCCCCATTTCCCCATAGATATATTCAAAATCCCCCTGTGTGACTGGAAATTTATTGATTTTTTCACATATTTCCATCAGCTTTTGCTTTATATATGCTAAAGCTATTTTATCATGAAGAGAAAGAACCCATTTATAGGTTCTTAGGAGTCTTCTTTACAATTAGCAACTTCACTTTAATCCCTTTCAAGTATAATTTGCTTAATATTGTATTTAACTTTATAATTTATCTAATATCAATGCGGCATTGCTTAGTATGTTATTCTCAATTCCTTCACTTCGAATTTTTGAATGTTCTCATAGAAATAACATATGCCTGGATTTTAAAAAAATGGAAATTATGGTCTTTTAATAAGTGAGTTTAACCTATTTATGTTTAGTGTGATTGCTGATGTTTTGACCCTACAATAATTTTCTATTGACCCATGCTTTCTAGTTGTATTTTTCCTCTTTCGTGATTCTGTTAGATTGAAAACCTTTTCTTACAAAAATTTTCCCCTACGAGTTTGAGAGTTATATATTCTATTTCTCTATTAGCTAGCCATAAATCTTAATACACATACATAAACTTGTATTTTTCTAGCAATGGCTAGAGTTACCAGTAACTATATCCTTTCCTTGAAAGTAGTAAACCTCTTAGGCATATTTGTTAGTTTCCTCTACAATATATTCTTACATTCTTTTGAGAATACTATACTTTGCTAACATTCTCAGGTCCTTTTATTTGTTCTATTACTTGTATCCATAGGTATAAGTTGTATTTATTTATTTTTTTTTTTTTGCTTTGTCTTATTTTGATTTTGGTGTCTTTTATCATGGTGCTGGCTTTCTATAGGTATTTGGTGATTCTTGGTTGAATGCTTATCTCATAGATATTCTGAGTATGGCATCAGCTTGTTTAAAAAAGTTGAGAGTGTTGTGAAAGGAACAAGCTGAAGGGTAGAAAAACCCAATAGCTGGTACTTTGGGCATGTGGGCTCTAAGTTCCTCCTTGGCGTGATTAGCCATCTAGAGCCTTGCCCTATTCTGAGACTCTTTTTTCCTGTTGCTCTTACTCCAGCCCAATGGTGGGGGTAGGGGAAGGGAAAGCAGAAGGATTAATAAAGAGGGTGGCCCCACCTGGTTACTGCTGCTTGAGAACATCAACTAATTATAATTACCTCACTGGTATCCCCTAGGCTTACTACTTCTCCTGCAACATACTGCCTTCATATGTGGAACAGTTTTGATACTGCTCCTACTTATAGCTGTCATCTTCTGGCAGTTTTGAACTGTTTCCCTCTTCAGTCTTTCAGGGATTTCTCACAGCTTCTGGTCTATCAATTGTAACTTTTTATTTTTTAATTATTTATACATTGTTAAAAATTGAGGTGCACTTGTCATACAATGTTATATTAGTTTCAGGCATACAACACAGTGATTCAACAGTTCTAGTTCTATACACTGCTCACCGCAATAGTGTAATTACCATCTATCACCAAATAAGTTATTAAAATACTATTGACTATATTCCTCATGCTGTACTTTTCATCCCTGTGACTTGCCTCTTTTATAACTGGAAGTTTGTACCTTTTAATCTTCTTCATCAGTTTCACCCAGCCCCACCTCCTCCCCTCTGGCAACCACCAATTTGTTCTCTGTATTTATGAGACTGTTTCTGTTTTATGTGTTGTTTTTTAGATTCCACATATAAGTGAAATCATATGGTATTTGTCTGACTTTTTTCACTTAGCACAATACTCTCTAGATCCATCCATGTTGTCACAAATGGGAAGATTTCATTCTTTTTTTATGGCTGAGTAATATTTCTGTGTATGTGTGTGGGTGTCTGTGTACGAAATCTTCTTAGTCCATTCATCTAGTGATGGACAGTCAAGTTGCTTCCATGTCTTGGCTATTGTAAATAATGTTGCAATAAACATAGGGGTGCATATATTTTTTCGAATTAGTGTTTTTGTATTTTGGAGTAAACACCCAGTAGTGCAATTATTAGATTGTAAGGTAGTTATATTTTTAACTTTTTGAGGAACCTTTATACTGCCTTCCACAGTCGCTGCACCAGTTTGCATTCCCACCAACAGTGAGGGTCCCTTTTTCTCCACATCTTCACAATATTGTTTCTTGTGTTTTTTATTTTAGCCATTCTGACAGGTGTGAGGTGATATCTCAGTGGACCTTTGATTGGCATTTCCCTGATGATGACTTACGTTGAGCATCTTTTCACATGTCTCTTGGCCATCTATGACTTCTTTGTAGAAATGTCTGTTCATGTTTACTGCCCATTTTTTAATTTTTGGATTATTTGTTCTGTGGGTGCTGAGTTGAAGTTCTCTCTCTATATATGAAGTTATTATATATATATATATATATATATATATATATATATATATATATATATATATATATATATTAACCCCTTATCAAATGTATCATTTGCAAATATGCTCTACCACTCAGGAGGTTGCCTTTTGGTTTGTTGATTGCTTCCTTTGCTGTGCAGAAACTTTTATTTTGCTGTAGTCCCAATAGTTTATTTTTGCTTTTGCTTTCCTTGGCTGAGAAGACATACTTAGAAAAAAGCTGCTCAGGCCAATGTACAAGATATTACTGCCTATGTTTTCTTTTTTTTTTTTTTTTATGGTTTGAGGTCTTACAAATATTTAGGTCTTTAATACATTTTATTTTTGTGTATGGTTTAAGAAAGTGATTCAGTTTCATTCTTTTGCATGTAGCTGTGTGGTTTTCCCATCATTAAAGAAACTGTCTTTTCCCCATTGTATATTTTTGCCTCCTTTGTTGTAGATTAATTGATCATATAATCATGAGTTTATTTCTGGACTCTCTATCCTGTTCCATCGATCTATGTATCTATTTTTGTGCCAGTACCACAGTTTGATTACTAGAACTTTGTCGTATAGCTTGACATCTGGAATTGTGATACCTCCAGTTTTGTTCTTTCTCAAGATTGCTTCTGCTATTCATGGTCTTAGTGGTTCCATACAAATATTAGGGTTATTTATTCTATTTTTGTGAAAAATACTATCAACACTTTGATTGGGATTGCACTGAATCTGTAGACTGCTTTGGGTAATATGGGCATTTTAACAATATTAATTCTTCCAATCCATGAGCATGCTATATCTTCCCATTTGTTTACATCATTTTCAGTTTCTTTCATCAATGTCTTAAAGTTTTCAGAGGATAGGTCTTTCACCTCCATCATTAAATTTATTCCTAGGTATTTCATTCTATTTGATGCAACTATAAATGGAATTATTTTATTTCTCTGATATTTTGTTATTAGTGTATATAAACACAACAGATTTCTGTATATTAATTTTATATCCTGCAACATTACTGAATTCATTTATTAATTATAGTCATTTTTAGGTGTTGTCTTTAGGGTCTTTTATGTATAGTATCATGTCATCTGCAAAAAATGAGTTTTGCTCCTTCCCTACCAATCTGGATTTTTTTTTTGTCTGCCTGCTGTTTCTAGGACTTCTAGTACTATGTTGAATAAAAGTGGTGAGAGTAGACATCTTTTTCTTGTTCCTGATCTTAGAGGAAAAGCTTTCAGTTTTTCCCCATTGAGTATGATGTCAGCTGTGGGTTTATCATATATGGACTATATGTTGAGGTATAATCCCTCTAAACATCATGAACTGATGTTGAATTTTATCAAAAGCTTTTTCTCCATCTATTGTGATGATCATATGGTTTGTTGTCTTAATTTTGTTAATGTGGTGTATCATGTAGATTGATTTGTGGATAATGAACCATCCTTGCATGCCCAGAACAAATCCCACTTGATCATCGTGAATGATCCTTTTCATGTACTGTTGAATTTAGTTTGCTAATATTTTGTCAAGGATTTTTGCATCTATATTCATCAGAGATTTGGCCTGTAGTTTTCTTTTTTTTATAGTATCTTTTTCTAGGTTGGTGTCAGGGTAGTACTGACCTCATAGAAATGAATTTAGAAGTTTTTCTTCCTCTTGTATTTTTTGGAATAGCTTGAGGAGAACAGGCATTAAGTCTCCTTCAAGTGTTTGGTAGCATTCATCTGTGAATATGTCTGGCTCTGGACTTGTGTTTGTTGGAAGCTTTGTAATTACTAATTCAATTTCATTTCTAGTAATTGGTCTGTTCAGATTTTCTATTTTTTTCCTGATTCAGTCTCAGAAAATTGTCTATTTTGAGAAATGTATCCTTCTCTTCTAGGTTGTCCAATTCGTTGTTAGCACATAGTTTTTCGTAGCAGTCTCTTATAATCCTCTGTATTTTTGTGGTGTCGATTGTTACTTTTCTTTCATTTCTAATTTTATTTGAGTCCTATCTCTTTTTTTCTTGAGGAGTCTGGGTAAAGGCTTATCAGTTTTGTTTATCTTTTTAAAAAGCCAACGCTTGCTTTTGTTGACCTTTCCTACTATTTTTTTTAATCTCTATTTCATTTATTTCTGCTCTGATCTTTATTATTCCCTCCCTTCTACTAACTTGTTTAAAATCTATCCTGTCATTTCTAGGAATGAAAGCAACTATAGGAAGCTGATGGGTATGCTCAGTCTGCCTATTCAAACTGAAAACTCTATGCTCTTTTTTGTAAGTTTCCAGTTTAAGTAAAACACAGACACAACTTTATAAATTAACTCTCACTCCTTACATTCCTTGTTCTTTTTCATACTAAAAATATTAAATATTTAAGAGAGAAGGGAGAAAAAAACCCTTTTAGTGACTCATTTTGACATACCTGACTGTGTAGTTTTGCTCTGGGATTTATTAGAAATCGGCGTTTCCAGCAATTTTGCCATTGTAGCAAGTTTGCTAGCAGCATTCATAATCTTTTTCTCAGCCCTGTGGGGAATTCCAGAATATTAAATTAATAATAGTTTAAAGGAAAAAATGAGTTTCCTTAGCCCCAGGATTTCTGTTTTCCTATTAGTTCTGCCAATATTTAGGGTAGTACAGACATAAGCCTCTCTTAACCCCTAATGGCCAATCATGTAGAAATAGTTAATTTTGTGGTTAAGGAAAATGTTTAGAAAATGACAACATGCTGTCCTGGTAGTCTCAGGACACGCTGTTTGTTTAGATTGAACTTACCCTTCCTGTTTTCCATTATCCTGCAAAATCTGTTGGAGGCAAGTCAAGTAATATTTGCGCATCTTTCGGGCGGTTTCTTGACGTTCTCGCAATACCTCTGCTTTTACCATTTCCGCAGCTCTTTCCTTACTCTCCTGAATATAACGAAGCATATCACCTAGTGGGGAGGTGAGGGAGGGAGTTGGTAGGGAGACAGGAATTCCCACAAAATGCATGTTTACTACCAGTTTCTCAAAAACAGGGGAGGCAGACTTCAGATCAATTTTCTGGGAGATGAAGTGACTACAGGTATATTGCACTTTTCCACAATCATTAAAATGGAATGCTTCAGATCACTATTTTAGGAGACTCAAAGGAGAAATAATCTAAAAGTCCTTTTAGAATGATGATAGCCACATATGTTAAGGAAACAGCATAATCCCTAGGAAAACACTGTCATATTCTAAAACACTGAGGCAAGAAAATAAATACGAGATACAGAAACTTACACATTTTGATTATGTATTGTCTGAGTAAGAGAGGAGAAAAAAATATACCTAAAGGGTGAGGATGAAAGGAAAAAAGAACCAGACACAGAAAGATAGAAGGAGGCAATATGAACTAGAGACTCATATTCCCATTTACTCATGCTCTGAAAATCCATGTTTCATTATTTATTCCATTCTTTCAGCAGCACTTATGCGTACCCAAGTAAATATAATACTATAATCCATGAGAGATATGTACAAAATGCCAGGGAGAAGGATAAGACCTATGTTGCCTTCTGAAATATACATTTAAAACTAGTGCACAGGGACGCCTGGGTGGCTCAGTCGGTTAGGTGGCTGCCTTCAGCTCAGGTCATGATCCCAGGGTCCTGGGATCGAGCCCCGCATCGGGCTCCCTGCTCCGCGGGAAGCCTGCTTCTCCCTCTGCCTGCCGCTACCCCGTGCCTGTGCACTCTCTCTCTCTGACAAAAAAATAAATAAAATCTTTAAATCAATCAATCAATCAATCAAAAATAGTTCACTGCTTTCAAGTTTTCTTTTTATCTTTGATTCAACATGATTGGATTGAGACTACCATTACTTAAGGTCAACGTTTTTTTTACTAAATCTAGGGCTACATCCTACCTCTAGAATATCACTACTCTGTTATATTAAAGATTCAATTCATAAAGGAATCTCCCTTAATATCAGTAAGCTCTTCCTGAAAATTAGATGCTCTGTGCAAAAAATACTAACTGAAAGACTATTTCTCATTATTTGAAGTGGTATAAATTAAATTGGAATACGTGTCAACACAAAACCTCCAGCCAATGTCTAAAATGTTAAACAAAATACACACATACAAGTTAGCATATAAGTATGAAAAAAATGCTTAAAATTTCACTTCCCAACTGATGTGATTGTTAACAAAAAGTTGCTTTGTTTGTTTTGTAGTAATATGGACCCTGTTGGCACCAGCAGCAACTGAAAAGTAAATTGTCTTTATTGATACTGAGTGGGCTTTTCAGAACACTACACAGGATTATGATGATCTAACAAATACATGTGGAACTTAAGACCTTTTCCCACTCATTTTGTTAAAAATAAAAGCAATTTTAAGAGGTAAACATACATTTCTCCTGTATCAACACTAGTTATTGTTCTGGGACATACATACAATCTAAGCAATATTATAATTAAAAAACAGGAGATAGTCTACTGAGAAAACATAAACCAGAGAAATGCTCTGCAAGGTATGCCTCTTACTGCAAAGGACTTGATAAACAAATTTACACGTATGACTTAATCCATTATCGAAATAATGAGAAAGAACAGAATAATGCTTAGCTAGATCTATTTTCTATGGTCTTTAAAAGCTTATGGTAGAGGGATGCCTGGGTGGCTCAGTCAGTTAAGCAGCTGCCTTCAGCTCAGGGCATGATCCCAGGGTCCTGGGATCAAGTCCCACATCAGGCTCCTTTCTCAGTAGGGAGCCTGCTTCTCCCTCCACCTGCCACTCCCCCTGCTTGTGTTCACTCTCTCTCTCTCTGACAAATAAAATCTTTAAAAATAAATAAAATAAAAGCTTATGGCAGAAAGTAATACTTGCTAATTTAAAACTCACATGACTTTTTTTTAGTTATTTAAGTTTTAAGATTATGAAATTTTTAGTTTAACATTAGTGCCCAAAAAAGAAACAGGATAATTAACAATATAAAATAACTCTACCCTCATGTCACTTCCAAAAGATATTGGGCAAAAAAATCCATTGCTGCATAATTTAGAAAAGGGGCCACTAATTTCTTCTAAAAAGCAGATAAGATCTCAGAACAAGTAGTTTGAAAAATTCCCCCAAATTACTAGTGCTAGTAATAAAAAAGGCTAAAACCACCTTAAAATCCTGGAACTCTCCTCAGAGACTTACGCTTAATTTTTTTTACAGCTTTAATGTACTGTCCACGAAGTTCTTCCAAGGCCCTCCCATTGCATAGCAGGCAAGCATTTTCAATGGCCCCTTCTGACAATGACCTAAAAATGAACCAAATATTGGAAACAGAGATTGTTAAGTAAAAATATCTAGCTATCTATATATTCCAATAACATCCAACTGAGACGTGCTAAAAAAAAAAAAAAAAAAAAAAAATCATGTATCAGGATCTTTACTATATAGTTTTTTAAAAAAGAAGAAAAATAGAAACAAATGTTATGGTTACTTAAATAAATCATGATAAATCCACATGATGAAAATATATGCAGCTACTGAAAAGCACATTATAGAATATCTAATGACATATGGAAATGTTTATTTTATAACATTATATTAATAAAAGCTTATAAAATAGCTTACATGATAACCCCAGTTTTTAAAACATGCACATGTGAGTATAAAGGGGCTTAAATGATATAAAACAAGAGGTTAACAGAGGGTATCTACTAGGAATAGGGTTTTGGAAGATTTTCTTTTTTTATACTTCTTGCTATATAACAAGTTTTATACTCTTGGTATGAATATTATTGCTATAACTGATATTACAAAATAAAAAAAAATACTTAGAAATAAACAATTTCTTTAAAATAGTAAAAGTTGGGGCACCTGAGTGGCTCCGTTGGTTAAGCAGCCAAACTCTTGATTTTCGGCTCAGGTCATGATCTTGGGCTTGTGACATCAAGCCCTGAGTGGGGCTCTGTGCTGGGTGTGGAGCCTGCTTGAGATTCTCTCTCTCCCTCCCCCTCTGCCCACCCCCCAATGCCCCGCTCACACTTGTTCTCTCTCTCAAAAAAAATAAATAAAAATAAATTTAAAAATAAAAATAAAATAGTAAAAGTCTACCTTGGTGGTGTTTTACAAAGTGTTCTCAGTTCTTCCAATTTACTCTTCACGTCATTGTTTTCTTCTATTAATTCTTCAACAACTTTAGTATTCTCTTCTAAAAAAAAAATTAATGGTATATTGGTCAATTAATCTGTTTTTTCCCCCTCAGTCTTCCTCTCCCCAAAATTCCCAGTGCAAATGTTTATAGAGGAGATTGTGCAAATGGCAGTTGCTCCCTGTGTCATTCGTTTCCTGATGAGTCCTAATCCGACCACTCCCTGTTCTGGTTTCTCAGCACTTAAAAACTGTATTACATCCACATCTTGCTTTGGGTTACACACTGCCCTGGAATAGGCTTCCAACTGTTTCACATGCATCTATTTTTTCCCAGCTAGACTGAAGCTCTGTTGAAACATACTGGGTCTTCTATTTTCATGTTCCTCCTGGATCCTGGTACAGTCTATGCTCATATATACGATCATTGAACAAGCACTGCTATACAAAATAAAAAGAAAATTAAGTAGGTACCACTTTCACAATTAATGTAAGATTTTCAATTCTTTGAACTTCTGAAAAGAGGATGAGGAGACTAATGGCGTCCATATGGAATGGAGGACAAAGCATGAATTTCAGAGTGAGAGAGACATGGGTTTAAGTCCTAGCTCTGCTTCTTTACCAGTTAAATGAGCTTAGGCAAATTACTTACGCTTTCTGAACCTGAGTTTTTTCATATGTTAAATGGAGATAGTATTACTTACCTTTAAGATAACAGAAGTAAAATCGTAAGTGCACAGCGCCTGATACAAAGTCTGACAATACCAGTGTTTAATAACTATGAACAGGACACACCGTTTTTCCTACCACGCCACCCTCTCAACACACCCTGTAAGTTGAGTAATGAGCCACTCTATTCCTCCTAGACATAACTTGTATATTTTTAAATCACTCACTCTTACTCCACCACTTTTCAACAAATGCTACCAGCACAGTAGAAAACGGAATTTAACAAAAAAGCAACCATAATAGCAAAAACATTATCAACTAAGAGATGTACGTTAAGACAAACACTGAAATCAAACTATCAAATGACTTAATTCTGACCCCGATCCCTTTTATCAGCCTGTTGTTTTGAGCTAAGTACCAACTTCTTGGATTCTTTCTAAGTCTTTGAATTACAGAAGGTAGCCTCAAAAAGCACCATGCAGAATAACTATGATCACAATGTATGGTGTTAAATATTATTTATAAATAATAATCTTATCTAGCTGCCGTTGTCATTTTATATGTAAAACAAATATTCTTGATTTCCATCAAATTATTCAAGAGCTACAAATAGCTCATTTACTCTTCCGGCTTCTACCGAAGAGCGAAGCCATCACCATGGGCATTACAGTTGTTCAAATTTTTACCTCAAAATTCTTAAAATCCTGTCTTGCCTTAGAATAATGATTATCCATCTCTAACAGACTTGGTAAGCAGTATAGGTGGGAGTGAAGCAGGTGGGTCCTCTTAGTTAACAGTATTTACTGAGCATGCTTTGTGGTCAGGTACTGTGCACTAAGTGCTCGGTCAGGACTTGATCCTTGTCATCATCAAGGCTACGCTCCAAAGGACAACACAGACAAAAATTAATTACAAGGATGATATGATAAACGTTAGAAAAATCATTACAGCTGTGGGTAATGTCTAACAGAAGAAGCTAACCAAGTCTGGGGTGGTTAGGAAAGCCTCCCTACGGAAGCAATGCACTGGGAGAGGGAGGAGTAGGAGTTAACCAGGCAATGTGATCAGGATGAGAAGAAGATGTTTTGGTAAATGGAGATGAAAACAGACAAGAGAAAAGAGACAATGAAATCCATGCTCTGGCCCTATGAGAGAATAAAAGGGCTGGGGCAAGACAAGGCTAAGGGGCTGGCAGATGCTGCATCATGAAAGGCTTCTTAGATGATGTTAGATAAAGTGTCTGCATTTCCTACTAAGGGCCAGCTAAGCCACAGGACTTTAAACAAGAGAGTGTCATGATCCAATTTACTTTTTTAAAAGGTCACTGGAGCTGCCTGATGGGGAAAGCCTTGGAGGGACAAGATTGGAAGCAGAAAGAGCCAGGAGGTGACTGCTGTCCAGGCAAGCAATTGAGTTAAAATGTAGAAAAAAAGTGAACCTATCTGTCTGTTTTTTTCTGGATCACACAATTATTTGGGACCCTTGCATTCAACCCTTCATTCAGTCAAAAAAGGGCATCATGACTACAATGATGAACAAGATAAAACATATTCCTCATTCTCAGGGAATGTATCGGTTGGAAAGGGTATCAGGCAAGTAACCAAAAAATTAAATACAGAATGGTAAAAGAGTAGGAACCAAGAGTGCTATGGGGCCACACAGAAGTGGCCTGAATAACCCAGACGGGAAAATCAAGGAGGGATCTGCAGATAAGGCATCTTTCTCAGTTGAACCCTAAAGGTGAGGAAGAGTTAGGCCAAATGAGAATGAAAGGATAAGGTGTAGGGCAGAGTGACAAAACTGTATGCAAGGTCCAGCAGTACAATTCCTGACCAGCTCAGCAATCTGAGCATTTCAAATGCACACAGTAGAGAGCACAGGAAATAAGTGACTAGTAAAAGGTAAGAGGGAGCAGCCTCAGAAGCCCAGTAGCCTCCCTGGTGCAGAAGGGCAAGAGAAGATAGCAGAAGCTATCCCTTCCAGATAATCTCCCTGACAGCACGGTGAAGAATGGACTGGAAGGATGCCAGACCAGGTCCATATGTCTTCGTGCACAGCTTTCCCCTCTGCCTAGAATGCTGTCCTCTTCGGCAAATACCTTCATCTTTCAAGGCTTAGTCAAGCCCTCCTTAACTCAGATAGGAGGAAGAGTTCACTCACATCCTTTCTGCCAAGTGTACACGAGCATACTGCCAGGAGCACTCAGTGCTGCAACTATTTATTAATCTGTTTTTAGGTCTCTTCACTTGATAAGCTTCTTGGAAAAAAGGAAACAGAGTCTTGCACATCTACTGCAGAACCGGAATTCCATCTAATGTCTTCACTGCTGTGTCCCTAGTGCCTAGAACATTGCCTGACACATACTGGGCACTCACTATCTATTCAATCCAAAAAGGAAGAAAGGAATGTGACCGTTTAATCAGAGCTCCAATTTTCCTCTTTGTAGTTCAGGAATAATAATTTGGTCAGTAAAAATAAGGTCCAAATTAGTTACATTAATCCTCGAAGAGAATCGGTGCCTACATTAACTAAAATGTCACATTTGAACATTTCAAGGATCAAAGAGATTTATACCAGTAGTAGTGCTAACTTTAAATGCTAACCTCCAATTTTTTCCACTACAGCTTTGTGCTTTCTTTCTAAATGCTGAAGATGCCTACAGCATTTCTCCAGTTTTCTTTCCAGATCTTGACATTCCTGCTTTGCCTTTTCAAGTTCTTGGAAGCAGTGTCCACAGGATGAATCTTTAATTTCAAGGATCTTTTTCTTATCTGCAAAAATTAAATGATAGCAAACCTTTATATCAATTTAGACTACAAACCAAAAAAGGAAGGAAGGAATGCAGGAAGGAAGGAACGGAGGAAACCAGGTGACATGACTAAAGAAAGTCAACAGTGCAACTGAAAAGAATGTGATGCTTAAGAGAGAGAGAGATCAGAGTTTAAATCTTCTTTATACTATTTATTGGCAGTGTCGCTCAGAGTATATTATATAACCTGAGACTTAGTTTTTTACTATGTAAAATTAAATAATACCATCCATTTAAAAAATTGCTATGAAACATGATGTTCAGCTCTTAGTATTGAATACCATTCCCCACTAAAAGGAACAAAGGATCTTCAAGAAATGGCTAACTCCAGTACTGGGACAGGGTGTTTACAAGATGAATGCCAGAAAGAAATTCCTGAAAAATACAGGAACATCACAAGGACAAAGGAGCCAGTTTGAAAGGGCTCCAGTAGCTGAATATGGGGCAATTTGAACACTAAGTTTACTAATGAATTATAAAATATTAAAAAAAAAAAAAGAGGAATTCATGAGCCATACCAATAATCCTACCCATAATGGAATGGATGGATAGATGGGTAAGTAGGTTAAGTTGATAGGTAAATAGGTAGATGGATTGACGGACAGATTGATAAATAAACAAAACAATAAACAAATGAGTACACAAACTAACAGGAGGATTCATGATTATAACAACATGCCAAGTGTCAACTGGTAAAAGTAGAGGGAAGTCTAGAGCAAAAAAATTATAATTTTGCAACCACCATGGTAAAGACTGAATCAGACAAACATCATCAATGATTGCTAAATATAAGGGAAATGTTTAATGAGAAGGACATTTTCATGGTCTTAGAAGTGTCTCCCCACAGACTGCTTATTAGTTGTGAGGTGGGAGGAAACCACTGAAGAAAATGGACAACACCGTGACCAGGTGCTCAAATGAACTTCACCAATAAAAGACAAATGGACACTGTGCACCTCCACATGTGATAAAGACATCACCTATGCAGCGTTCCAGCCAAGGAAATGCAACCTGAATCTCATTATGAAGAAACACCAGACAAACTCAAAATGAGGGAAGTTCTACCGAAAGCTGGAGGTGGGGTGGAGTGGTGGGGAGAGGGGAGAGTAAGCCTTTCGAAAATGTCAATGTCATAAAAGTCAAAAAGAGGCTATGGAAATATTCTAGACTAAAGGAGACTAAAGACACATGACATCTAAAGGTAATACCTGAGCCTGGACAGATTCCTGTACTGTGGGGGGGGGAAATAATGAAAGACATTATTGGGTCAATTGACAAAATTAGAATACAAACAGGTTGACACAGTATTTTCATCAAATGTTTAATTTACTATACCAAGGTTATAAAAGAAAAAATTCCTATGTTTTGAAAATACACACTGAAGTATTTAGGGGTAAAAGGGCACAATGTATGTAACATCCTCAAATGGTTCAGGAAAGAAAATGACATGTTCACATACACATACACACAGAAGAGCATAAAACTGTATACAATGTTATCAACAAATGTATCTAGGTAAAGGACAGATGAGTGTTACTTGCAACTATTTTTACTTTTGTAACTTTTCTGTAAGTTTGAAATTGTCTCCAAATGAAAAAATATTTAAAACTATCAGGAGGTACAAATGTATAAAATATGTGTGGCACAGTACCTGGCAGAGAGCAGCATACAATAAATAACAGCTATTGCTATTAGTAATACGGAATTCGTAAAATTTAAATAATATCAAAAATGATACAAAAAATAGGTGATTACTATTAATATAATTGATAAAATAAAGTGGGGACACAAATTGGCACAGGCTCAAAAGCCAGTACCCAAAAATTTGACGTAAAATCATTGGTTCAGCAGAATTATTCTTAGCTCTTTCCTGACTTTAGTTTCCTCTGAATGGCGCCATTTTATGTCCATGGGCATCAAAGAATTAATGAAGCATCACACTGGTATCATACATGGTATTTATATTTTTCATTTAGGACACTGTTGTAAAACTAGAAACCAGGCAAATGTCCATTGCCAAGAGAATAAATTATAGTATATTCATAGAATGGAACACTACACAGCAATTAGAGCTACATGCATTAACACAGACAAATATCAGTGGAAAAAAGCAAGTTACAAAGACTACGATGAATATTACACTACATTTTTATAATGTTAGGAGACAAAACAACAGCTTTTTCAGGATACCTGTATTTGGTCAAAACATAAAGAAAAGCAAGAGAATAATTTTTAAAAATCAGAATATTTGTTACCTTGGATTGTAAGGAAGTTATAGGGATGGGACTGTGGTCAAACACACAGGGGTCTTCAACAGTCCTGGTGACGCTCTAGTTCTTAAGTCAAAGAGTGGGCTCCTGGGTGGTAGGCTTCATAACTTACATGTGCATCACATATTGTCTTTGCATGTATCAAGAATCTCATAATCATTTAACTTACTTTAAAAAATGGTAAGATAGGGTGCCTGGGTGGCTCAGTTGGTTAAGCAACTGCCTTCGGCTCAGGTCATGATCCTGGAGTCCCAGGATCGAGTCCCGCATCGGGCTCCCTGCTCAGCAGGGAGTCTGCTTCTCCCTCTGACCCTACCCCCTCTCATGCTCTCTCTATCTCATTCTCTCTCTCAAATAAATAAATAAAATCTTTTAAAAAAAAAATGGTAAGATATTAGGAGACTATAATCAAATAGTTAACAATGGTACTCTCTGGTGGTAATATTCTAAAGGACTACAGCACTTAATATATATTTTGGATTATTTAATCCTTCCTAATGAATTGGTTAATGTGTTTGTTTTTAGGGAAAAAAGACTGAAGAAAGAAAAATCCTTTTGTAGTCTGATTTGTCTTAAGTAAAAACAAATTCCTTTCATATTGATAGGACTTCCCAAAGCCAAATAATATCTAAAACTTGTTGCTACCCATTTCATAAATTAAAAAAAAAAAAAAAAAATCTCTGGTTATTCTAAATAAAAACAACCGATATACAATGACAGTGAAAAATAAGAAACAAAATACAAATTAAGGTAGTATTCCTATACACCTAATGAACAATAAGAGCTTCTCAACCACCTAGAATCTAGAAGTGAGGAAAAAGGGCCTATGGATGATCAGGAAAATAGTCAACTGACATCTTAGGAAAGGCAGAGATTCTCTAAAATTCTGGTAATATTACTTACTAAATTAGAAATTGTGGAAACTAAGATTATTAACCTAGTACATTTGAGTTGTTCTGGCAATTCAAAGTTCTTTCCCAGGTTGCAACAGACACAGCAGAGAAGAAACAGAAAGACTGGGTATGTGTTTGTATGTGGAGGGAAGGAGCAGGCTGTGAGAGATCAGTATCTTAAAAAGGATTGGAGCTAATAAAGGATATGTCAGTTCTTGGTTCAGAATTCTCAATGACTAGGCAATAGAAGCCCAGTCAATATTCTTCAGTGAGCTCTGAATACGTCAAGGGGCTTCAGTACAATACAATAATTCTTTTTCATAATAACAACTGTAAGTTATTATGGGAACATTAAGCTATTAATTTACCAAATATTCAAGGAACACAAACTATGTGCCATTCACACTCTGCCATGTATTGGAGAGGAAGAGATAAAACACTGCTCCTGCCCTCAAGAAACTCACAAATCTGAGAACATCTCATCAGAAAGATTTCCATTAAAAAATGGTTGAAATAAGCTTCAATAACATGAACAAAAAGGTCCCAGTTATTTGGCAATTCTTTTATGTGAAACTCGCGATTTCTCAATAAAGCCAGGGAATAAAAACATGACTGTTCTATTAAAATTCTCATTATTCTCCTTATAATAAGACCTACTTATGAATGGAGGGAAGACCATGAAAGGATAGAATTAAGAGGGTCTAAAGTATCCCCATCTCCTAAATGCAAAATGAAATCTAGGGAGAAGACACAGATTAGGTAGGAATAATATTACCCACTCGTTCACTCATAAAAGCTGCACACATCTTTGACTTCCTTTTATCCTCAGAGCAACCCTCTGCAACTGTGAGTACGGACGTAACAAAGATCAGTAGGAATAAAATCCCATTACCAGCTTCTGCTTCTGTTTTTTGCAAGGCCAAGGCCTGAGCACAGCATCCAAAAGTAGGTGCAGGATGGACTGCCAGGACTCCAGGGTCTCCTCTGCCAGTGACCTCTGTGGCTGGATCCTTAGAGATCTTGGCCATATTTCTCTGAAAGAGAGTATCTGCATAGTTAATGCCATGTAAAAATCTTTACACAATTCTCCATTTAAAATGCTCGTATTAAAAACATAAAAAGAAAACACTGCCTAAAAAAAATCTTGCTTAAACCATCACCAGTACTTTTTTTAGGGTGTTACATGAATACTGTCATTACTCTGAACTAGTCTACAATGACCGTGATTTTCGAATTAGAACATTATCTGACAGAGGTCTGGTGGGCCAACTATGAGACAGATAAGAGATACAGTTTGCACACATATATATGAATTTAAGATATTTTAATGGCTTATGTGGTCAAATCACAGGACATACTATGTGAAATCACAATTGTTCTTGAAAATCCAGAACATTTTTACTGCAGCAGAGGTCAAACTCTATAACTATCAAACTTTTGTCTTCCACAAATTAAAAATTACATTTATACAGTATGTTACATTTATAAATACTTTCATATATACTGTCATTTTATAAGGAAGTTCAGTTGAATTCCAAAGTTAGAGAGAGAAACTGAAGCTAACCTAAACATCTTGCACAAGACTATTTCTTCACTAACATTTACTGAACACTTTCAGTATTCTAGTCCCTGTTCCGGCAATACAGCTACTAAATTCATTAATGGTGAGGCATCCTTTTAAGGTAGTGTTTTCAGATTCTTTTTTAAAAATTTTTTTAAATTATTCATTTCAGAGAGAGACAGAGATAGTGAGAGAGAGAGCACGAGCAGGGAGGAGAGGGAGAAGCAGGCTCCCCATGGAGCAGGGAGCCTGATGCGGGACTCGATCCCAGGACCCCGGGATCTCGACCCAAGCTGAAGGCAGACACTCAACTGACTGAGCCACCCAGGCGGCTGTGTTTTCAGATTCTAGACAACTACCAAATCCCAAAGGAACAGAACAGGTGATCTTGAAAAAGTTGCCTTGTTTAATTACTTAAAACCCACATATCAGCTTGATTCTAGAAGCCTTGATTTTGATTATAAGAAACTCTTAACTGGCTATTGGAAAACCTACTTACAATGTGCATCAGAAGCAGAAGTCAGCAGTTATAAAGAAAATGGAAACTCCAGGCAATCAAGGGGATATGAGGCTGAGGCCAAAGGGAGTAATAAAAGTTGAACTCTAAGGTAGCCAAGGTTTCCAGTTTCTACTTAAAACTGGAGAAAAGCCAAGATGACAAGAAAAGCAGGAGCAACAACCTTCTTGTCTTAGTTTTAACTTGACTTTGGTGGTAAGAAAAGACAGAACACGCATCCTTAAATTTGTTTGAAAATTCTGCTCCCATTGATATTTTTGTTTTCTTTTTTCCATCATGACCTGTTGTATTAATGTATTCCAATAAGGCATTCATTTTCATGGAAACTACATTTTCAATTGATTGTATCCTGTCCATTTTTTAAAATTTTTGATCTAAGTTATTTTAATGAAGACTTGTTTTATATATATTGATCATTTTTTTCCTGTTTTAATTTTTATAAACAGTTCTAAAAAGGACAAATTTAATCAATTATAATTCATAGTTCTTCATATTTATGGCACCTATATTGCAAACTTATAATCACTGGTTACAATCATTGCTTTACCTCAAGGTCCTGAGCTGGGATTGTTCAAACAGCAGAAGATCAAGTATTCTTCTATGACAAATGCCAGAGTAGGCATTTCAAAGCCACCCTTTTCTCAGGAATAGAATCTAATCCCACCCAACAAAAGCCACAAAAGTCTAAGTTCTTAGCCAAATTATTTGATTCTGTCTCCACAGACATGTGAGCTACATTAAGTCATCCAGATGATCTCAACACTGCTAGCACAATCAGAAACCCTACACAGAGACCCCAGGATTGAGTATATATTAATAGAAGAAAGGTGTTACATTTTCCTGATTTTTGTAGTAGAGATTGCCTTTTCAGGAAAGTAAACGTGAAAGCATATAACATGATTTTCCCATCACTGCCCATGCTTAAAACTCACTATAAATAACTCTTAATTATTTTTTCCAAAAATTTTCAATTAAGTATTACAAGCATCATTCATCGGAAGTGATCCTGCCCAGTTGTTTTTACATTGAAAACAACTCTTAACTGATTGCTTTCACATCTTTTGAAATCGGAATAATGGTATCAACTGGGGTGAACTGGGATGGGGTAGACTGATCTTTCAGGTAACTTTTGGATCTAAAATTCTGTACTATCTCAAACACAGGAGGGAGAAAGGCCAAGCTGTGTCATTCATATCCTACAAAACCCAAGGAATTAGGCGAGAGATTTGTACTTTCTTTTTCAGATAAGCAATTATAATACATGACTACACAGGTAACAGACTAGTTATCCTCAAGTGTGGGACTGGAACTCAGATTTTTTTTACCAGCTCGTAAATTTCCAATAAGTATTAATACCAAATGTTCAATCCTGGCCTTGAAAATCGTTAATCATGATATCTTAATGAAACTTAACTCTTATGTCTCTTCTCAAACCTTATTAATATTGGCATTTTCTTTTCTACCTCTAATTCCAAATGTTGAAATTGGCTGATCACAATGCCTACATATCATTCTGGATTTTTCACGCATATCTCATTTCTTCAATCTTCCACCAAAACTAAAAGCTGGTGTCAGAGACTATTCAGACAACTAAAAGAATACCATTAACTCATTCTACATGCACAGATATATATAGTAGACCAACAAAACTGGGCTTCAGAGTTTTGTTTGAGTGAGCCATACTTCTATTTGCTTGTTCTACAACAATATTTTTTGTACTTGGTTGGCATTTTTTGCCTTTGTGAGATAAATTCCTTGAGGGCAAGAAATAGGCTTCCAAACTCTTTAGAAGCTCTTAAGAAACCCTAGTTTTAATATGATGCATATTTCTTGAAGTGGTCATGCCCAAAAAACAAAAATAGGAATGAGAGTTATTCAGTTTCTCAAAGCTCAGGCCCTTACAAAGAACAGCGTATATTTTTTAGGAAAAAGAGGTCTAGAGCCTAAAAGCTCTGCCTCATATTTGTGGCACCATGAAGAAGCAAAGTTTTTTTGGCAAAAAGAAATGAAATCCTTTGGATTCACTACAAAAAGTTGTTAAGCCACTGGTAAAAACTCAAGTTTTACATCTATTAAACTGTAAAATGAAGAAAGGAAAAATGACCATATGCCACTTCTACAATCATCTTTGATGCTTATTAATAGCGCGTTTCACTTATCAGGAACATACCTTTTCCCACTCGGAGTTGGCATTTTCTATAGCTAGGGAGAGGATATCTTGAAAGGCTTTCTGTATGCAGGCCTTTAGTTTTTCAAAATATTGGGCAGACACCCATTTTGAAGAACAAGATGACACGAGTTCCAAGAGCTGCTTGTTCTCTGAACCACTGACATGTTCCTTTTGGGTGTCCTTCAAGAGAAATTCAAGTACAGTGAGGATGTCTTCCTCATACTGATAGATTTCCAGTTGGATCCGCCTGGCTTCCTGCGTAGCCCATTCTCTACGACTCTGGTCTAGACATGTTTGCAATTCTGTCTCCTTCTGAAGAAGTAGTTCAGTTTTTTGTTTCACAAAGTCTTCTTTAGCTGCCGCAAGCACCTCATTAATTTTATTTCGGTGATCATCTAAAAATTGCCGGTAATCTTGCTCATTTTGTTCTTGAATTCTGTGGATTTCTTCTTGCTTTTCTTTGTTCCATTCATTCCGGGCCTTCGCCAGCTCAGCCCTGACAACCACAGGGACTTCCTCGTTCTTTAACTCAAGCTCTCTCTGAAGAGAATAAATCTTCTCTTCCAATTCTTTTCCAGGTATTCCATTTTTCTTCATATTTTCAAGCTCGCTTTTCCATTTCTCTTTAGCTTCAGAAATAGCAAATGATATCTAAAAGACATAACAGTGTACATTTAAAATTCTTTATGATCTCATTAATTAAAAAATTAAACTAAAGTAACTATTTGGGATAAGACACTGGTACTACAATATATTCATACTATACTCAAAGATCCTTTCCTTAATTTATTTTTTTAAAGACTTCATTTATTTATTTGAGAAAGAACGAGCAGGGGGAGGGACAGATGGAGAGGGAGAAGCAGACTCCCTGCTGAGCAGAGAGCCCAATGTGGGGCTCTATCCCAGGACCCTGAGATCATGACCCGAGCCCAAGGCAGATGCTTAATGGACTGAGCCACCCAGGTGCCCCCCTTTCTTTCATTTTAAATGACCTAATATTTTATGTCTTATGTTATTTAAAAAACACCAGTTTTTACAAAAAAAAATAAAAAACACCAGTTTCCTGAAGAACTAGAAATTTAAACTGACCCCAAAAATATGTAACTATACAGTTACCCAAAATTACCTTCGAAAAAAATTCATATTAGTTTTACACAGATGTAGCCTCAAATTTTACCCAAGCCCATGACAAATGAAGTATCTTTTACATGAAGCAAAAGCAGCCTCATAAAGAAATCTTACTATTACTTAGAAATATAACACGCACCTGCACAACTTGCTGACAAACATAATTGCATTTTACTGGAAGCACAGTGGTTAGCACAGTTCATTAAATGATAATACCAAACAGAAAAAGTCATTTTCTCATTAATCTAATTTTCTTTTATGACAGAATAACAAGGCTAGCAGATCACAGACAGTAATAGTACATAACCAAAAGGTCCTAGGGAACCAAAAAACCGAGGCTTAGCTCTAACCCCACCTTTGACTGCTGAGGCAGCCTTGCACAGTGCTTAACAGAGCAGGCTCTGGGGACAAACTGCTGCAGTAAACTGACCAGCTCTGGGACCACACGCCCATTCCTCAATTTCTTTGAGCCTCAGGGTCCTCAGCTATAAAATGGGGACAATTATAATGCTTACCCGATAGAATTTTGTTAGGAATAAATGACAAACGAAAAAAAAAATCCATTTAAAGCACTTAGTCCAGAGCCTGGCAGATAAGGACTCAATACATGTTATGTAGTTATTACTTTTGGCTGTATGGCTTTAGAAAAGTCACTTAATCTCTTTTGTACTTAGTGTCTTCATCTACATAAGGTGCAGATTAGATAATGACCTTGAGTCTCTTTTATAAATTCAAAAAAGTCACAAGGATATAAGTGTTAAAACAAGCGGGCATCTCCAAAAGCTTGGCCTGGACAGTGGTGATTGCTAGTAATCAATACTATCTATATATATGTTCTGGATGTTGTAATAAAAAGGTATCTGTTTCCCAAATTTTCAGGTATTATATAATCTTAGCAAACACCTTCAACTAAAAAATTCTTAAACATGTTATACACCTTTATTCAATGATGTATTCCTGAATAGTTGCACATACATCAAAATTTTTTAATTGTATTTTAAATCTACTAAGGGAACCCACCATCTAAGATGAGCTTTACAAAAGAATTCACAGCGAAATTCTTTTGCTACCAGCAGAATAATTCAGTAGTGATGTGAAACATGTTTAAAGAGTGCTGTTAGGGGGGCGCCTGGGTGGCTCAGTTGGTTAAGCGACTGCCTTCGGCTCAGGTCATGATCCAGGAGTCCCTGGATCGAGTCCCGCATCGGGCTCCCTGCTCGGCAGGGAGTCTGCTTCTCCCTCTGACCCTCCCCCCTCTCATGTGCTTGCTCTCTCTCATTCTCTCTCTCTCAAATAAATAAATAAAATCTTAAAAAAAAAAAAGAGTGCTGTTGGGGAAAGCAGTCTTGTCACAGTAGATGCCTGAAAATCATTACCAGGTGACTTGGTGGAGGTGGCAGATCCCATGGAATTTGGATGAACTGCTGATCTCACCAAAAGTGTGCATCCTCTCACACGAAGTTGTGCAAAGCAAATTTGACAGCATTAAGCAACTCAGGGGTTTCCTGATAGTTGCCACACATTAGATCACCTGAGAAGCCTTTAAAAATCCTAATACCCAGGCCACACCCTGTACCATTAAAACATAAAGACTGGGGGATGGGAGCCAGGCAACAGTATTTTTTAAAAGATCAAGTTTTTTTAATGTGCAGCTAAATTTAGGAACCACTGAACCAACCTGACAACTCTGGACTCTGGACAAACTAGCTTTAAATTTTTATAGATCTTGGGGCGCCTGGGTGGCTCAGTCGTTAAGCGTCTGCCTTCGGCTCAGGTCATGATCCCAGAGCCCTGGGATCGAGCCCCGCATCAGGCTCCCTGCTCCACGGGAAGCCCGCTTCTCCCTCTCCCACTCCCCCTACTTGTGTTCCCTCTCTGGCTGTCTTTCTCTCTGTCAAATAAATAAAACCTTTAAAAAAAAAATTTTTTTTTATAGATCTTGATGGATCACTCTAATCTTACAAGAACCCTCCAGCCAATGCTATGAAAGTAGCCCTTGCTCACCTTCTTTGGTTTGGAGGAAGGCTCCACAAGAGGTTAACTTATGTTTTGTGGCTGAATAATTATTTAGAATAGTGCTACTCACACCCAAGTGTGCTCTAAAAACCAGCAGTGTCACATCACCTAGGAGTCTGTTAGAAATGCAAATTCTCAGGATTCACTATAGGCCCACCAAATCAGAATCTCTAGGAAAAGAGCCCAGGAATTGTTTAACAAACCCTCCAGGGGAATCTCATGCCTGCTAAAGTTTGAGAAGCAACACAGTGTCCTCTCATTTCTGTATTTCTGCATTCACATACATTCGGGTCTTCTGTGATCTTAGGGAAAGATCTCTTGACTACTTTATTTTCTACATTCTACCCAACTTTATTATTCTTGACTTCTGAGCTCTGAGACACATGCACATCATCACATTATTTCCTTTCTCTCTCCCTCTTAAATTTCTTCTTGAAATATGTCAGCATACTAAAAAGTATAGAGAATAATGCAATGAACACCTGTGTACTATCACACAACTTAAGAAAAACGTTAAAATAGTTTATTCTTGCTGAATTATTTCCTTAAGTAATCTGTGGAATAAGATTATGAATATGACATATGAATGATTTACAATGTCTGTTACACACGTTATTTTCCAAAATGGTTGTAATATTGGGAGAACAGTATATACTTGACACTGCGATCTATTATATTTTTTGTATTACAATTAAGAGAGAATGTAGACATATGGCATAAAATAGCACCCGAAGTTTGTTATTTGGACTTTTTGTGAAGACTGTATGTCCATATTCTGGTGTACTTATCCTCAGATTCTTGTTTTTCTTATAAGTTTGTATTGTTTTTCGTATTGTATATTAGTATTAACGTTTCTCATGCTTAATTCATCTATTTTCCTTATTCTTATTATCCTGTCACTGTTTTTAATTACAAAAGCAAAAATGTTTTAAATGTTTGTACCTATTTTATCCTCTTTATCTTTGCTACTATGTCTGTTGTCCCAAAATTGAATTATGGTACAGATCTGAAATATTCAATTTCTTTTTTCTATATGTTCATTGAAAAATGTTTAGCTTCTTTTTCTTTTTTTTAATGGGCAGCAAAGCAAAATTTATTGAGTGATAGTAAAGCAAAGTCTATTGAGCGATGGTACAAAGCTCCCGAAGAGAGAGGGGACCTGAGAGGATTGCCCTAAAAATGTTTAACTTCTTAATCAACTTAGCCTTTATTGTGATGCATGCGTGGGTAACCTTAATTTTCCCAAAGTGCTATCTGGCTATCATAAGACTATTTATTATGGAATAATTCCTTATCCCCTTGTTTTGAAACAATTAAGCTTTTATTCATAGTTGGTTCTATCTCTAAGTCTGTATAATACAGAATGAAAAAGAATTCTCTTTTGTGACTCAACACTGAATTGTCGCTTTCCAACATATTCTATTATGTGTTAGGGCTGGACTACTATTTCTTTTCCAGAACATTTAAAAAATTTCTAGTCCTTTCCAAGTAAATTTTAGTATTATTGTGTCAAATTTCTAAACCATGTTCAGTTTACTGGCATTCTGATTAGAATTGGTTTACTCTAATAAATTGGGAGAATGCAAATGATTTTGTTTCTGGTCAAACAACATATCTGGAAAGGAGAGTTGGCTATTTTCCAAGATTGTAAGACTACTGACAGAGCACAGAAAACAAAGCAAGTAAAAGGATACTGTACAGCTATTAATAAACAGATAAACACCTGTTCTGAATTCCTCCTAAAGATAGGGCAAGATCAAACGGGATTTAGTTTCACAGTTAAGGTTACCCTCCTGATTATGAGAGTTTCAAGACCCTAAAATACATTCTTTCTCCCTCAACATCTTGATGATGAGAACAGACATCATCAGCCAGACTCTGAGCTAATGCTTAACATGCATGATTGTATTTAATCCTTCCATAACACTGTGAGGAGATACAAATTCCCAGGACAAAGATGAGAGGTCAGGAGAGAGGCTGCCCTGAAGCTTCTTTCCAGGAGAGCGCTTACCCGTCTGGCCACAGTGATTTCTTGTTGTTCTTCCCACTTCTTCTGTTCTGCTCTTACACGTGCTTTATACTCTGCAAGGTCAGGCATTTCTTCCAGCCATCGATGACGAGCATTTTGTACAGCTGTTTCTACCTGCAATTGGATATTGCAAGAGAAAGAGGTAAAGTGAGATATAAAATTTCAAAGATCCCATTTGCAAATAGCAACTACGATTTCATGTGTATTTCACATTGTACTGCACTACATTAGTTACAATGACTTCTAGTACTCCACCTTACCCCAAACAGTAGATTCTAATCCTTCTGTTCGAAACTTCCCATGCTGTCCCATGCAAATGTCACCACAGGAAGCAGGAATCTATAAATGTTTGATGGCCAATACTATTATTGGAAAGCTTCATACAAAGTACCAATTGCCATTTCCAACAAACTTCTTTTTCTCTTAGGGAAAAGGAGAAGACATGCAGGAATGCTGCTTGGGGTCAGCTGCTGTCCAGTCAGTACACCCACCATATCCACAGTCCTCATGCCTTACATATAAACACATTAACACATGCCAGCATGCACCAATATAGTTTATAGCCTAGTACCGAGCAAGTTTTCTTGGTGTCTATCCTGAGCTTGCAACTAAAGAATGAGGGGGGATACATCAATTCAGGCAAAAATGTAAGACTGGATGAATTATGAGGGCTATCTGGTTATAAAACTGTCACAGGTTACCACAAGATAATTTATTAAATAATCTTTCCTTATTTTGAAATACACACAGACACACACATACCTATATCCATACAAACATACAAAACCAAAGCTGACATAAGGGGCTGAATTGTTTTGTAAAATGCTAAATATATTTGCAGGTAAATTCCAGGGAGTTAAAAATATGGGGAAAAGATAAAGCTACTATAGAAATTTATATTCCTTAAAAAGTTATTATGAATATTTCCTTTCTACTACATCATGCTATTTATTTTTCTTTACAAGATCTGTGATTGCATATACATCAAAGCAGCACCCTTCAGCATGTCTCTTTGTCCGCAGAACATTTTCTGAACTCTGTTCAAACCTTAAACATTTCAGGAAATTATTTAACTGACTGAAGATGCCCTTGACACCATTACATATATTTGCTTATGTTTCCATTCTGTAAGGGTTCCCTGTAAAATCATGCAGAACAATTTAATAAATAGGCAGAATGCCAAGCTTTTGTCAAAAGCTGAATATATTTTTTTAAAACTTTACTTCAGGTATTAAGAGTTTATAATAAGTAATAGGTCTAAAATAGTAAATACAAAATAAAGAATATTGTATTAAGGTCCAGGGACCTCTAAGGGACTAAATACCCTGCCAGGTGCTCTGTAAGGTCAAGACTATTTTCAAAATAATATTCAGACCTTATCTTTTTTCACTCCCTCTCCTTCATGTGTGAATAATACAATGCTCCAGAGGCTACATGCCATGTGATATCTCACTGCTCTGACAGCCAATGGCAAGCATGCTTCAGTATTCTTGTTTTTTAAAAATTTCTCAGATTTATTTTCCAATACAGTAAATAGAATATAACACACACAGAGAAAAGCTCTTTAGGGTCTTTAAGTTCTTAAAAGTGGAAAGGCATCCTGAAACCAAAAAGTTAAAGAATCACTATAATAATACAGATTTAAAAGAATATTAACTCTTTATTCCATTTATACAGAGCTATACTTTTCTCAGTATGACATTTCTTGGAAACCAAATAACATGCCCCAGTTAAAAGCGAGCTAGCTTTCTGAGTGCTTCCACGGGGAGGCAATGGCACCGCTTTCTGGCAGGATATGGGATTTACAGACAACATTTAAGGGGCATGCCTGCAGATTCAACTCTGCAAGTCTCAATGTAAACACTGTTAAGTATCTTACTTGCTTTAAGTTTGCTTTTTTATAACTACTTCAGTATTTTCTGTAAAATTAGATACGAAAGATTCATAGTGAAATTGTGCTTCATTCAGCTATAAAACTACCACCTTTAACCTCAAGCATCCTAAAGCTTAGACTGAAAAAGGAGCAAACATTCTGAAAACTTAAAGAATACACAGAAAAACCAAGGGAGTAACAGCTTTGTGACAGGAAATATAATGGAGAAAATTTTAGTAACAACATAAGAGGCTCTCTACCCTAGAATGCACAAAATTTTTAAAATATAAAGTTATGAACAAGTTCAATGGTACCATTTTACAGGTTTTCATTAATAGGCAGTTCCAATAATTTTACAATAATAAAACGTTAATATTACCTGTTTGGCAATATTTTCACAGTATTTGAGTTCTAACTCAACCTCAAGTTTCTTCAAGCCCCCACTGATAGCTGTCTCCTTCTCTTGCTCTAAATCTTGCCGGATCTTCCGCTTCTGTTCTTCTATCACAATTGCCATCTCTTTCTTGGAAATAACATCCATGGTGGCTACTTGGTCAGTTTGGCTGCAACAATCTGAGGTCTTCTTTTTCATGGCCTTTATAGTTTGATCCAGCTTAGACTGCCACTCCTTTTCAAGCTGTTGAAAAAGTTCTTGTTTGATCTGTTTTCAGAAGAAAAATCACATGAAAAAATATTCAAATAAGCAAAACTAGAATAGCTAGCCAAAAGAGCAACCACAGCTGTGTTAGAAAACAATTTAGACAATGTTGTAGTAATTACATGAGATTTAGAAACTTAGTCAATGAAAATATATTCTCAAGTAAATCCTGAAAGTTACTGTGTATATACGTGACATAAATCACATGGAGGATCTAAGTATACTGCATAAGGTCAGGCTATCTTGCTCTCAAGATGCAACTTTCTGGAAGCTTTGACACTGCCACTACAAAGATGGCACGAATCTTTTCTTCTTTTTCTTTTTTTAAAGAAGAAAACTTCTATTAATATGTGTTTTTTCCATCAACACCAGGCTTTCCACAAAGCAGGCACTGGGTTAAATCTACTTAATGAACCTAAAACTGAACAATCTAAAAAATAGTTTTACTTACTTGAACACATTAGAATCTTGTTTGTTATGATATTAAATTCTACTGAGTCAACTGTGCATTCAAGAAGGGGACGCATTATTAGAAGAATGTTTTAATGATAACATTCTACTTTCAACAGAGTACTGGGATGGATCCAAACATAGTCAGTCTTAGGCAAAACTGTGAAACAGTGGGCTTTTCCTGAAAAGCAAGCTTTGCCCTTTTCCTGTTTTCCACCTTCTGAGTATCCAGAGTTCTCAAACTGCTTCCCTGGCTACCACAGCCCCAGGCTGTATTGCTGCATCTGAAATAGCAACCTTGTGTAATGGTTATGCTTTCCTTACAGTCTCACAAAAACATTAGGTCTCCAACTCATCCTCCTGGTAAAAACTGGTTAGCAAATTCAACTAAAAAACAATTTGCAACAATGTAAAAATAGAGAATTTGCTTTGTGCTATCCAGATTTTATATATATATATATATTCCAGAATATATATTTTTATATTAAAATATGACGAGTAAAAGAATTTCAGGTGCCAGCACTAGACTAATGAATTGCTTTAGGGGGTCGGGGGTGGGGGATGGAAAGCAGGGAAGTCTGAAAAACAGGACAATGGTCTACTAGTCCACCTTTAGGTGGTCCCAACTCCAGTTAATAGCAATCTTGTGGATAAAAGAATCTCCTTTCAATAAGCGTGAAAATTTATTTCACTTCCAACTAAGTTTTCAAGATCATAATTTGGTTCTAAATTTTCTATAAAACTACTAGCAATCTCATTTGCTACTTAGGTAACAGAGGTAATGTTTTGAGCTTCTGAGCCTGCCCAATCATTACTTCTTTCTTCTAATGCACAGTACAGGTTATTTATTTATTATAGATTGGTCTGAAGTTATCTGAATCATTCCACAATATGAAATTAGATGTGGGTTTCATTTTGAGGATTCAAAAAAGTGCTCCTCCAAAAACCATTATATCCTGAATTGGGTTGAAGAGTCAAGGGGGGGGGGGGGAGGGGAGGCGGTGGGGGAGAATTAAAAAAAATAAAAAAAACTAGTGTAAGCTGAGCTGTCAATAGCCCAATTCTGAGATGCGAAATAAATGATTATGTAAGTACTTGGCAATTAAAAACTACGTCTCTTCAGGAAGAACTGTCTCTCAACAGTTAATACTACATTTTTTAAACATGGTGACTAGAAAGAAATTTTAACCCACACCTCTTTCTGTTCCTCATCCCAGTGTGATTTGGCTAACATCACTTCATTTTCAACCTGCTGCTTAATATCAGTTTCTTGTTCTTTCAGCCACTTGTTCTTTTCCAACATAAGGATATCTTGGTACTTTTCTTCAAGTTCCACCTGCAGTTTGCTTACATATTCTTCTCTTTCCTCCAATAGCTGTCTCTTTAAACAAAATTCAAGTAAATATCTCTGTATAACACTAATATTCTCCAAGACAAATATACGAAATAATGGTTACATGCATGTAATAGCAGCAACAAAGACAAATGATCTTCCTACATGCTAACTCAATCAGCTTAATAAACTGTCTTGTAAAGACCTTAGATCTCAAATACTGGATAAAAAATTTAGAGATGGCTATATTAAAAGAAAAAGCATCTATTCAATAAATATATTCCCAGAAGACCAACTTTTTAAAAAGTGAAACTGACATTTATGTTTACACCCCACCCATCATGGGACCCATTAGATATCATAGCCCAGAAAAAAACCGTATACTTCTGAAAGACTTGTATTCAGATGCAAGCCAAAAATTATTGGTCTATCTTAAAAGTTATGCCTCCTGTAATAAATTCAGATTGGTATATTTTTTTCATTACCAAAGACAAAAATTTTTATCAAAACTAGCTGAAGTATTATCAGATAGTAACTGTCAAGCGTCAAATAAAATTTAATAATTTGAAGTATTAATATAACATTCTCTATTTACTCTAGGAATCCAGTTGATCGAAAAACTCCAATAAAGCTCTATTCGGGGATCAAAATGGCCTGTAACAGTTCCCATTTGAAATTTTTTTAAATGGTTCTCTGGACATTCCACTGAGATGCCACTGAAGCCCACAAAATACAATGCCAGAGAAGTATACACTTCACATACCTTTTGCCAGGCAGCAACAGAGCTTGTGCTCGGTGTCTCTTTTCCATTAGTTCTGATTCATGACTACCTGGTTGTCTGGGTTTTTTCTGGCTCACACCTGACCTGGCTTATTTTGGTCTGAATCGCCATCTGATTCCTCTCCACCAATAGCATGTGCCAAAAAGATGCCACCTAGTTTTGTTCAGTGTTGTGCGATTTCAGAAACTCTCTGGTGACTAAAGGACCCATTTCCTCACAATCAGGTCATGGAAACTATAGTTGTACTAACGCTATAGGACAGTCTCAATCACATGGCTGAGAATGTTGTCCAGGCTTACATCATATATTGCTGTTATTTTTTGTTGACTTTAGAAGGAATCCTCAAATTGTCTTGTGTATATCTATCCTTCAGGAGTTGGTTCCGTATGTATCTACACTTCCTTTTGACTCACAGCAGAAAACTGCTACCAATTTTCTGTGTATTTGTATGTTTGTGCATAGATCAGCTTTTCTACATAATAAGCCAACCAAAATTTAACAAAACTAAACTAAAACAGCAAACATCTATTATTTCTCATGATTCTCTGGGTCAGCTGGGTGGTGGTTCTGACCTAAGTCAACACAGCTGATCTCTGCAGGCAGTTGAGGTTATACGGTCTAAGACGGCCTCACTCACATGTCTGGGGGTTAGCTTGATGTCTGGATAGACAGATGACTTGGTCACATGTTTCATCACCCAGCAGGTTAACCCAGATCATTCACATGGTGGTGGTCACAGCGTTCCTCAGATCATCAAGCTTGTAAGCCCCAATGCATAAATGCTTTTTAAGGCTCTTTTTGCATATACTAATGTCCCATTGGCCAAAGTTTGTCATGAAACAGACCACCTCTTACTGAGAATAGCTACAAAGTCACACTACAATAATACTGCGTGCATTCACTGACAGGAAGAACGTGTGGCCATTTTTGCAATCTACCACAGCGAGGAAAACCTAGCTTCCCTCTCTTTACAGAAGTAAAGTAATAGATTTATTGAGCACAGGGATGTGCCATTTGACCATACTACAGGAATATCTAATTTTTAAGTTTTATCATTAAAGGGAAGTAAATTTTTGGACGGCTTTAAAACATTTAAACTTGATTTGTATGTCCCAGACAGCAAACGAACTCTAACTTCTAAGGCCTGACTTAGCATGTATTACAGTTGTATAAATAAGTCTTAAGGTATATAGAAATGACACTATGAATGGGAATACTGCCCACCTTTGTCTTGTCTGCAAATTCATGACCTCCAATGATTACTACACAGTCTGAAGGGTTCTGTGTGTATGATGTTTTTCCCATTCTCTGAACAAGCCAGGCTAACAGGTGAGGGAAGTTCTGTTAATAAAAGTTTTAAAACTTGGAATTGAGCTCCTACTTAACCCACAGCCTGACTCAATAAGTGTTTCAGAAAAGAACACATATGGAACAGGAAAATACATCCTAGGGCTCTTAGGGTTACCTATCTTATAAATTCTGTATCCAGACTAAGTTACTGACCTGAAAGCCAACTGCAGGGAGAATGGCTTACGTTCTGCACAGAAGGGCTACCCTGAAGTTCCCTAGCTTGCTTGAGTGTAGTAAGATTCTTCCATGGTGTGAGTATGAAACATTTCCTAGGAAGACAGACTGGTATATCTCTGCCTACCTCTGGAGGATATCAAGAGATTAATAAATTCTCTTAAAGTTCTGTTCTGACTGGCTTATGAAGATGACTAAGTTTTATAATGGGTTTATGTAAATCTAAATAAAAAACTAAAGTGTTCCCAGAGAAGGAAGGAATTATACTTCTAGTGTGGTAAGTACTCGGGCCCTCTCAGTAGGGGTGATTATAACTAGCACAAGGCAGTCTTGCAGGGCCATAAGTCTTCTGTACCCTCATCACTCTATTCATGTGCTAAATCCTGTGTTAAAAATGTATAGAACTCTACACCAAATAGTCAATTTCACTGTATGACAATTTGAAATTTTTAAAGAAAAAAATTTAACCTGTAAGTTTTTTTGGAAGGGCCAAATAGCAGTTTTAACATTCCTTCCTTGCGCCCCTGCACAAGCATTCATGAGCCAATATTGTATGTGCTGTTAACTGCAAGTGACTGATTATATGAGATCCAATTTTATAGCTAAATTGATTCTTTTAAAAGTACCAGAAAATATATTCCTGAAAAGAATGACCTCTTTGATAGAATTTTTTTTTTTTTAAGATTTTATTTATTTTTTGACACAGAGAGAGAGAGACAGAGAGAGGGAACACAAGCAGGGGGAATGGGAAAGGGAGAAGCAGGCTTCCCGCGGAGCAGGGAGTCCGATGCGGGGCTCGATCCCAGGACCCTGGGATCATGACCTGAGCCAAAGGCAGAAGCTTAACGACTGAGCCACCCAGGCACCTGAGAATCGTTCTTCTGTTCTTTGTCAATTTATATATTTAAAAAGAAAGAATCACAGTAGAGATCTTCTCCCTATTTTAATTTTTTTAAACATTACTGAAAGCTAAGTCCTTAATTTCTAAGTAATTTAATAACCCTTCTAACTTTTATATTGCCAGCACTAACTAAAATAGCTCCCTTTAGAAGTTCTTCTTCCATTAGATGATAATGTACACATGGCATGTTTTTTACCATACTAATCTATTCAAAAATAATCAAAATATTAAATGAGCTGAATTCCTCACCTGCTCTTTACTAATTCTTTTTAAGTCTGTAGTAGCAATAGCCTGCTTTAATGTAACTTTGTTCAGAAAACCTCTGTATAGAACATTTACTCAAGCCTTTAAAAATATTTCCTAATCTTGACGCAGGTGGCTTTCAAATTGTGGTCTGTAGGCTGGTCCAAAGTGGAAGGGAGAGTCAGACGTGCGTCTGGATGAGACTCTGGCCAGAACAGGGAAGAAAAGAGGGGCGACTGTTTATGTGTGATTTTACTCCTGGACACTCACCAATGGCAACTTGGAAGATTCAGGCAGGAGGAGGGAGTAGAGCAGCCCCTCCGGCTTCCCTAAAAGTGAGAACTTCCCCGAAAGATCGGGTCACACTAACAGTGTGACTTTGCTCTCTGTAGCTCCATATCACCACCTTCCCTGTCATAAGTCCCAAGTTCAAATTCTTGCCCTTCTCCCCAGAAGAAGAAAATGATACTTAGGTACTGAGAGAGAAGTGGGTCAGAGGAAAATGTGTCTGAGGGAATCTTTTGTGCAGTGCTCACAGGACTAGGTAGGTTTGCCTGCAGCCAACAAATAATTGCAAAACGAGGATCCCTGGGTTTCAGACTCACAGTGACTTGGGGCCACTCTTGTTTATTTTTTTATTTTTAGAATCTGTTTTGCCTCTTAGGATAAATATATAAGGAAGAATCCATTTCTCCTATATGTATTCCATTTTCTACTCAGGTTTTAATAATCATCTCAATATTTACTATATTTTGTGAGTTGTATTGGTGTGATACAGCCAAAAGTAAAGAGACTTCTCCGTATGGCGTTTCCGGGTCACAAGAGAACAAGTGGACTGGTTTCCATGACAGCAATGAGGCCAGAGGAATGAGATGGAGCAAAGACAACATGAGCTTGTCCCGTACCTTCTCCTGAGCCTGTTGCTCCTTTTCAGTGGTCTTCCTGAGAGCCAACTCCAGACCATCCTTCTCTCTGCACACTTGCAGGTAACATTCTTGCACGGCAGCCATCTCCTTATTCGTCTTATCTAAGTCAGACCTTGGATACACAACACCGGCAACTAAATGACCACAGGACAATACAAGAGTTGCAAAACAATTTCCCTCTCAACTACGGAACAGGAGAATACTGTCTCTACAGCTTAAAGGGCAGCTAACTCTCGTTCTCACCTAAGTTGCAGGCGAGCCCCCTCATAAACTTCAAAGAGCTGCTGCTTCTCCAAAGCATGCTTTGCTAACAGGCTTTCCCGTATCTGGGCTTTCATGGCTTCATGGTGCTGCTGGTAAGTCCTCTCACACCTAGAAACAGAGAGTGGACAATAGAATCTATGGCAGTACCCAGAGTTAGTAGAAACACCAAGATGAAGTAACTGGTTTCTTTTTCTTCCTTCCCTACCCACTTCCAACCTCTGATGCAAATTGTAATTAAGGTCAGGTTGGTTTTCCCCAACCAAAAGTGGTAATAATTCCCAGTGGATGACCTTAAAGAATCTTCAAAATTTTCTTCAAATGTTTCTAGAAAAGAATTAGAAACTTGGATATGAGAATGCTCCAGTCCTTCAGGTAATAGTCTTTGGTTGAGGACTGTTTACAAAAAATTAATTGAAATAATAGGGTATAGTTCCAAAATTCCAAAGTATCTATATTAAACATAAATACTAGCAATACCCAACTCACAAGTAAGTTATGTTCCAAAAATCTGTTTCCAAGTTTATGATTTGGTATTTGGAAGACATACTCCCTCCCACAGATTTCTTCCTTATAAAGAATAGTTTCCCAGACAGTCTATAAAAACCATAAAGCTATACTATTTCAATGAACTACAGTTTTGATGGTGCTATAGAACCTGACCCACTACATAACATCATTCCCATGGAAAATGGGTTCCGAATTCTAATTTGAGAAGGCAGGGACTCCTCTTCTTCAGTCGAAGATCTCAGCAGGGAGGGTTCACTCCATAACTTCTCTTGAATCTTTTTTTTTTTTTTTAGCATGGGGGCATGGGGGATGGAAGGTGGAGGCAGGCATTAGACCTCTATATAGACTTTACCTATCCACAGCCTCCTGTTTATCACGGTCAAAATCTTGTACCATTTGTCTCATCTGACTACATAAGTCTTGATTTGTATTTCTCAGTTTTTCTTCAGTTTTTTTAAGTTCCTAGATACAAAAGAATAAAGTAGTTAGAGGAAATAAACATTATTTTCACTGATTAGTCCAATCTTATCTTTTAATATCCTCTGTGCTTTATCTCTACCCTGTAACATTTATGTATCATTTTCATAATTCTACAAAGTCTCTTTAAGCCTTGGAAGAGTATAGATTCATTTATTTGACAAGTAGCTTTCTGATAGCATTAAGACTTAAAATTTTGAATTCATTTTGAACCATATGGAATGAAAACATTTAACCAGAGAAGTATTAGCTAACTGATGTCTAAAAATAAGTCTTAGAATCTAATAATCATCACAGCTATATAAATAAACAAGGTTTAACTTTTTGGTCAAGAGAAGAACACCTCTAGTAGCCATGTTTCTCTATAGACAGGAAACTGGAATTACACTAATTTACCTTCTGATGGAACTACTATCTCATGACCAATAAAGGGAAATGACTGGAATCCTTATTCACCTACTAATAAAGCTGTCTACTAAATCACATCACCTCTGGATTTTTGAAAAGTCTGTTATATCTTTTGAATTTAGTGAGGTCATAAAAATTCTCACAAAATATAGGAAACTTTTTTAATCACCTGATTTTGTTGCTGTAAAAGGTGAATTTCATTTTTAAGTTGCAGAATGTCATCTTTGACAATGGTATCAGAAGTAGAAGAGCCAGGCCATAATTGATTAGTTAGGTTTTCTGAGGTCTCTATTTTAGTCTAAATGTTAAAAAGAAATCAAAAGTTTTTCAGGTTTTTAAAAAATTCCAAGTTCTGCTTTTGAACTAATTTCATACTTACGAAGAAATTGCAAAAACAGTGCAAATAATTTCCATATAATTTTTATCACCGCCCCCAAATATAACCATAGTACAATGACCAGAACCAAGAAATTAACGAGGATACAGTACTACTAACTAATCTACGGACCCCATACAAAATTCTCCAATCTTCTTCTCACATCCTTTTTCTAGTTCAGGATCCAATCAACAATTCCACATTGCATTTAGTTGTCATGTCTCATTAGTCTCCTTCAATCTAGACAGTTCAGTCTTTGTCTTTCAAACCTATGACTTTTTTTTAAAAGTGTCAACTAGTTATTTTGTAAGATGTCTTTCAATTTGGGTTTCTTTGATATTACTTCATTATTAAATTCAGGTCATCCTTTTTTTTTATATATATTTTTTTATTTTGTTATGTTAATCACCATACATTACATCATTAGTTTTTGATGTAGTGTTCCATGATTCATTGTGTGTGTATAACACCCAGTGCTCCATGCA